GTAAATGATGGAAATAAAATCTAACTTTTGTTGACATATTATAAGAATGTCTAATCTGTAATGTGATGCCTTTTGGAGATTTTTCCATCTTTCCTTGGCTTCTTTATGCACATTAATACAAATTTTTAGCTGGGTGCCCAAACTTTCGATCCCCACTGTAGTGTACTTATAGGAAAACCTTTTATTTATTTATTTTTTTTGCAATTCAGCTGTGGGTAGGAAAGGGTTAAAATGCCTGCCCTTTGCTTTTTTTTTTTGTGCTGTCTGTATACTATTGGTTTATTTCACTTCACTTCCAGGACACATAAGAAAGTTAAAGGAAATCTCCCACAGTGAAGGTAATTCCCATCTTAGACAGGTGTCTGGATTGGAAGATTTTCCGTTAACTCTTATTTTGGGGACAACTGTAAAATTGGATTTCTCCTCACTTTCTTGATCTGTGATTATAGTCCCTATTACAAATAGGTGACTTTCCCCAATGGACACAGCAATTAAAAAAGCAAAATATGCAACAAAGTTTTCCAGAAATAGCTCCTGCGTAAAAATGGCAAAATGCAGAAACAATGGAAAATACTAAATATAATTTAAGCGCTCACTAGATGGCCAACGTTTCAAATGGCAAACAGACAGGAAGGGACCACCCATAATGAGTATAAGTACATATTAATAAAACAAGTGCAGTGCTAGGACAACATAGCAACAAATGAAAAATTACCAAAAAGCCACACAGGAAAAAAAAATACTACCCAAGACAAAGCCCCCACTTTTACCAAAAGCAAACAAGTGTAAGACTATGAATAGCACCTCACATAAGACATATACATTAGATCCATAGAATACCCTGACAGTGCACAAAGATAGAAATACATACAAATGTAATGTGAATTAATACTCCACAACCAGATAGAAGAAACCTGAGGACTCCGATACAGTCTGTGCAATGTTGCAGAGGATGAATGACGGTGTGAACACCGAGTCTAACACCACTAGAAAGAGAACATGCCATGCCACCCCAATCAAAAGATGTGGGTATGGAAACCTACTGAGGCTGCCATTGATGAAAAAGGGTTTGGACACTGAATTTTATATATATATATATATATATATATATATATACGGTCAGGTCCATAAATATTGGGACATGGACACAATTCTAACATTTTTGGCTCTATACACCACCACAATGGATTTGAAATGAAACAAACAAGATGTGCTTTAACTGCAGACTGTCAACTTTAATTTGAGGGTATTTACATCCAAATCAGGTGAACAGTGTAGGAATTACAACAGTTTGCATAAGTGCTTCCCACTTGTTAAGGGACCAAAAGTAATGGGACAGAATAATAAGCATAAATCAAACTTTCACTTTTTAATACTTGGTTGCAAATCCTTTGCATTCAATTACAGCCTGAAGTCTGGAACGCATAGACATCACCAGATGCTGGGTTTCATCCCTAGTGATGCTCTGCCAGGCCTCTACTGCAACTGTCTTCAGTTCCTGCTTGTTCTTGGGGCATTTTCCCTTCAGTTTTGTCTTCAGCAAGTGAAATGCATGCTCAATCGGATTCAGGTCAGGTGATTGACTTGGCCATTGCATAACATTCCACTTCTTTCCCTTAAACTCTTTGGTTGCTTTTGCAGTATGCTTTGGGCCATTGTCCATCTGCACTGTGAAGCGGCGTCCAATGAGTTGTGAAGCATTTGGCTGAATATGAGCAGATAATATTGCCCGAAACACTTCAGAATTCATCCTGCTGCTTTTGTCAGCAGCCGCATCATCAATAAATACAAGAGAACCAGTTCTATTGGCAGCCATACATGTCCACACCATGAAACTACCACCACCATGCTTCACTGATGAGGTGGTATGCTTAGGCTCATGAGAAGTTCCTTTCCTTCTCCATACTCTTCTCTTCCCATCACTCTGGTACAAGTTGATCTTGGTCTCATCTGTCCATAGGATGTTGTTCCAGAACTGTGAAGGCTTTTTTAGATGTCGTTTGGCAAACTCTAATCTGGCCTTCCTGTTTTTAAGGCTCACAAATGGTTTACATCTTGTGGTGAACCCTCTGTATTCACTCTGGTGAAGTCTTCTTTTGATTATTGACTTTGACACACATACACCTACCTCCTGGAGAGTGTTCTTGATCTGGCCAACTGTTGTGAAGGGTGTTTTCTTCACCAGGGAAAGAATTCTTTGGTCATCCACCATAGTTGTTTTCCGTGGTCTTCCGGGTCTTTTGGTGTTGCTGAGCTCACCGGTGCGTTCCTTCTTTTTAAGAATGTTCCAAACAGTTGTTTTGGCCACGCCTAATGTTTTTGCTATCTCTCCGATGGGTTTGTTTTGTTTTTTTTTCAGCCTAATGATGGCTTGCTTCACTGATAGTGACAGCTCTTTGGGTCTCATCTTGAGAGTTGACAGCAACAGATTCCAAATGCAAATAGCACACTTGAAATGAACTCTGGACCTTTTATCTGCTCATTTTATTTGGATAATGAGGGAATAACACACACCTGGCCATGGAACAGCTGAGAAGCCAATTGTCCCATTACTTTTGGTCCTTTAACAAGTGGGAGGCACATATGCAAACTGTTGTAATTCCTACACCGTTCACCTGAGTTGGATGTAAATACCCTCAAATTGAGGCTGACAGTCTGCAGTTAAAGCACATCTTGTTCGTTTCATTTCAAATCCATTGTGGTGGTGTATAGAGCCAAAAATGTTAGAATTGTGTCCATGTCCCAATATTTATGGACCTGACTGTGTGTGTGTGTGTGTGTATATATATATATATGTGTGTGTGTGTGTGTGTGTGTGTGTGTGTGTGTGTGTGTGTGTGTGTGTGTGTATATATATATATATAATATATATATTATATATATATATATATATAATACACCCGCTCAAAAAAATTTAAGGAACACTTTTTAATCAGAGTATAGCATCAAGTGGGATATTGATTTGGTCAGTTAAGTAGCAGAAGGAGTTGTTAGTTTCAGCTGCTTTGGTGTTGGTCACTGACCTTTTTTTTTCCTACTCATCTTTTCTGACAGTTTTTCATTAATTTTGCATTTGGCTAAGGTCAGTGTCACAGCTGGTAGCATGAGGCGATACCTGGACCCTACAGAGGTTGTACAGGCAGTCAAACTCCTCCAGGATGGGACATCAATATGTGCCATTGCCAGAAGGTTTGCTGTGTCTCCCAGCACAGTCTCAAGAGCATGGAGGAGATTCCAGGAGACAGGCAGTTACTTTAGGAGAGCTGGACAGTGCCATAAAAGGTCCTTATTCTATTAGCAGGACTGGTATCTGCTCCTATGTGCAAGGAGGAACAGGATGAGCACTGCCAGAGACCTACAAAGTGACACTGGTGTGAATGTCACTGACCAAACAATCAGAAACTGACTTCATGAGGGTGACCTGAGGGCTCGACATCCTGTAGTGGGCCGTGTGCTCACTGGCCTGCACCATAAAGCTTGACTGGCATTTGCCATTGAACACCAGAATTGGCAGGTCCGCCACTGGTGCCCTGTGCTTTTCACTGATGAGAGCAGGTTCAACCTGAGCACATATGACAGACATGAAAAAGGGTCTGGAGAAGTCATGGAGAACGTTATGCTGTCTGTAACATCATTCAGCATGACCATTTTGGAGGTGGGTCAGTGATGGTCTTGGGAGGCATATCCATGGAGGGAAGCACAGACCTCTACAGGCTAGACAATGGCACCCTGACTCCCATTAGGTATCTGGATGAAATCCTTGAACCCATTGTCAGACCCTATGCTGGTGCAGTGGGTCCTGGGCTCCTCCTTGTGCAGGACAATGTCCGACCTCATGTGGTGAGAGTATGCAGGCAGTTCCTGAAGAATGAAGGAATTGATACAACTGGATGGCTCCCACACTCGCCTGACCTAAATCCAGCCTGAACACCTCAATGGTATCATGTTTCAGTCCATCCGACGCCTCTATAGGTTGATAATTTTCATTTCCATCAAACGATGGGGCATCCTTACATTCCTAACACGTTACGGAGTCCATATAAGTACAGATATCCAGCATGATATTTTTCCCCATTGAGATATGATGTGTTTTCAAAGTGTCCCTTTCCATTAATTTTTTAGAGCTGTGTGTGTGTGTATTGTGTGTATATGTATATATATATATATATATATATATATATATATATGTATGTATATATATAAAATACAGTGCTCAGCATAAATGAGTACACCCCAACAGATTTGTCAGAAAACCTATCCTTTCCTTTCAAAATCAACATTTCCTATGGGGCACTATACTACAAAATACTCCCACAAATGCAGGCCATTGACTGCAAATAAGATTTGTTAATTTGCACACACAAAAAAGTATTTTTCCTAACAAATTTAATTAAGACCATGAAAAAATGAATATACCCCAATGAAAGTCTTAAGAGCAAAGCTAAATTTTAGGCAACAAAATCATAATTAACAAGAATTCAACGACAGGTGAGTCTAATGATTCATTAAACAGGTCTCTAGCAGACAGTTGATTATAAAAGGGCATTACTTAAAGAAAACCCCTTCCCATTTCATGCTGTCATCAATGGCACCACATGGAAGAGAAATGTCACAAGGCCTGGGAAAGAAAATTATTTCTTTACACAAGAAAGGTGAAGGCTACAAGATCAGCAAAGCTTTACTTATCAGACAGAATACTGTAGCAAAAGTGATAAAAATTTTTTTACAAAGATGGAACTGCAACCATCTCACAGAGACGTCCAGGCTGTCCACGGACATTAACACTTTGACAGGAGCGTCTTCTGATGAGAAGGTTTGAAGAAAATCGCCATGCAAGTTCACTGCAGTTAGCTAAAGAGGGAGAAAGCCAAGCTGGGATGTTTGTTTCCTGTGACACAATACTGCGTGCACTGTAGAGAAATGGCATCCATGGGTGTCGTCCACAAAGGAAGCCTTTCCTAAATCCCATGCACAAAAAAGCCCACCTTGAATTTTCCAGGGCCCATGCTGAAAAAAAGACTACTGAGACTTTGTACTCTGGAGTGATGAGAACTAGATAGATGATTTTGTAACGGATGGCTTCAAAACTGTATGACGTTGCAAAGATAAGGAAAGAAAAATGCATGGTGCCTACAGTGAAACATGGTGGTGGCAGTGTTTTTATGTGGGGTTGCATGAGTGCTGCTGGTGTCGGGGAGCTGCAGTTCATTGATGGTATCATGAATTCACGGATGTACTTCTCTATATTGAAAGAGAAGATGTTACCATCACTCTGTAGCCTTGTTCGTCATTAACTTTTCCAACATGACAATGATCCAAAACACACATCATGTTACTTTTCTGAAGAAGAACTGGGTGAAAGTGATTCAGTAACCAAGTATGTCTCCTGATTTGTACCCAATCAAATGCCTATGGGGAGACAAGTTGAGCATCACTCTCCATCCAGGCTCTAAAAGAGGTCATTCTTGAAGAATGGAAAAAGATCGATGTTGCAATATGCCGCCAACTTGTTCATTCCATGGCTAGAAGACTTGGTGCTGTCTTTACAAAACATAGAGGTCATACAAAATACTAGATGTAGTAGTTTTTGTTGTGGGTTGTATTGATTTTTGCATCAACTAATTTAAATAAAACTGAAGATTTTGTAATCTAAGTTATATTGTTACTTTCATGTAATGAGCTAAACGAATGTTCTATAAAACTCAGTTTTGTCAATTTTGGAAACTGTTTTTGTGTTCAGTGGGATATTGATTAAAATCTTACTTTTCAAAAGTATTGGGACGCCTGGCTCGCAGTCTCCGCTCTAATTCATCCCCCAAGAGGCAATTGGATATTCCCTGGATCAACATTACCTATAAATGTTAGTATCCGGTTATATTCTGTATATCCAAGAAATAATACAGGCCTTTTTTAAAGCAATCTACTGAGCTGGCCAGCACCAACTTTTGAGGGAGTCTATTCCACATTTTCACATCTTCTACTGTGAAGAAACCTTTCCGTGTTTGGTGATTAAATTTTGTTTCCTCCAGACGTAAAGAGTGCCCCCTTGTCCTCTGTGATGACCTCAGGGTGAATAACTCTAAACAAGGTTCACTATATGAACCACTGATATATTTATACATATTGATCGTATCCCCCCTTAAGTTCTTCTCATCTTTACTCATAGCTGAGCTCCTCCATGCCTCTTATCAGTTTGGTTGCCCTTCTCTATACTCTCTCTCCAGTTCCCCAATGTTCATTTTGTGAATTGGTGCCAAAAATTGAACTACATATTCCAGATGAGGTCTTACTAATGATTTGTACAGGGGTCAAATGATCTCTCTCTCTCTCTCTCTCTCTGGAGTCTATACCTCTTTAATACAAGAGAGGATTTTGCTTGTTTTAGAAATCTCAGCTTGGCATTGCATGCCATTATTAAGCTTGTGATCTACCAGAACTCCCAGATTCTTCTCCACCATTGATTCCCCCAGTTGTACCCCCCTAGTATGTATGATACATGCATATTCTTAGCCCCCAAGTGCATAACCTTACATTTATCAACATTAAACCTCATTTGCCACATAGTTGCCCAATTAAACAGTGCATTGAGGTTGACTTGTAAGTTGGAGACATCCTGTAAGGATGTTCTTCCACTGCACAGCTTGGTGTCATCTGCAAAGACTGAAAAGGTATTTTTAATCTCAGACCCTATATCATTTATAAATTTAAAAAGTAAGGGTCCCAATACTAAACCTTGGGGTACACCACTGACAACTCTAAACTATTCAGAGTATAAATCATTAACCACTACTCTCTAAATGTGATCTCTTAGTCCGTTTTCTATCCAAGTACATACAGATTTTTCCAAACCTGTAGACTTTACCTTACACATTAGCGTATGCGGGGAACCGTGTCAAACGCATTTGCAAAATCCAAGTATACCACGTCCACAGCCACCCCTCTGTCCAAGGTTTTGCTCACCTCCTCATAAAAAGAAATCAGATTTGTTTGACAACTTCTGTCTTTCATGAATCCATGCTGTCTGTTGCTTAAAATATTTTTTTTCAGCAAGAACACATCTATGTGGTTTTTTATTAAACTCTCCAGTATCTTCCCAGCTATAGAAGTTAAACTAACAGGTCTATAATTACTTGGTAAAGATTGTGAGTCCTTTTTAAATATTGGCACCACATTGGCCTTTCTCCAATCTAGTGTTACTATGCCAGTCATTAAAGAGTCCCTAAAAATTAGAAACAATGGCTTTGAAATGACAGAAATCAATTCTGTAAGGACCCGTGAGTGTATGCCATCCGGTCCAGGTGCTTTATTCACCTTTATTCTGTCTAAATATTTTTGGTTCATATCAGTTGTGAGCCAATGTGGATCATCTGGAGCTGTGTCAATACCATGCCCATTATGGACAAGAGCTCCCCCATGCTCCTTTGTATACACAGCTGAAGAAGGTGTTCCATAAATTTGCCTTTTCTTTTTCTCCAGTGACCCACTCTAGATTATTTTGTAAAGGGTCTACATGCTTGGACCGAACCTTTTTACTATTAATATATTGAAGAATTTTTTGGGGTTGGTCTTGCTATCCTTTGCAATCTGTTATTCGTTTTAAATTTTTGCGGCCTTTATTTCTTTTGCATATTCTGTGATGTTCTTTGTAATGTTTAAACAATGATAGCATTCTTTCATTTTTATATTGAATAAAAGTTCTTTACTTATTATCTATAGCTTTTCTAACTTTGGCCGTAAGCCACATAGGTTTTATTTTTAGCCTTTTAAACTTGTTGCCCATGGGAATATATTTTGCAGTGTGTTCACATAGTCTTTTGAAGAACTCCCATTTCTGTGTTGTGTTCATCAATGCCAATATTCTCTCCCAGTCTAAGTCTTGGAGAGCAGCTCTCAGCCTTGGAAAATTAGATCTCTCTAAAAATTGAGCATTTTTTTTTCTGTATGTGCTTGTTGTTTAGAGCTAACAATAAATTAAATTATGTTCCGGTCAATGCTACCCAGAAGTTCTTTTATATGGACATTTGTAATAATCTCTGCATGGTTTGAGATTACCAGGTCCAGCAGAGAATCATACCTACTTGGGGCCTCTTTGAACTGTACCAAAAAATTGTCCTGTTGGTTTTGAAATTTTTGCCCTTTAACTGTTCCTGCAATACCATTACTCCAGTCAATTTCCGGGTAGTTAAAATCCCCCATTATAATAACTGTACCAGCCCTTGCAGCCCTTTCGATCTGTGCAAGGAGCTGAGTCTCCACCTCCTCAATAACACAGAGGCCTATAATTAACTCCAATGATTACCTTTGTAGTTTGCACCCCCATGTGCAGTTCCACCCATAATGTTTCAGCCTCATCACACTCTCCATCAACTAGGTCTTCTTTCACACTCGCTCTGAGATCACTTCTCACATAGAGACAGACACTACCACTTTTCCTATGTACCCTGCCTCTCTGAAAGAGAACATAGCCAGGAATATTAATGGCCCTATCGTGTGAAAAATGAAGCCAAGATTCAGCAATACCAATTAAATCATAGTTTTGTTCATGCACCAAAGCTTCCAACTCACCTATTTTGCTTGACAGACTTCTGGCATTGGTGAACAAACACTTTAATTCATTGACACCCCGTGCACACGTATTTTGCATATTTTTTATTTTCATACAAATGGTACCAATTCCACCGGTTGTTTGTAACGTGGAAACCTTCTTATCATCTGCTATAGCCCTCCCCCCATCTTTCCCTGTTCTACCCACTAATACAGCCTTTCTCAACCAGGGTGCCTTTAGGTTTCTTCAGGGGTGCTTTGGCACATTAGCTGAGTGATGGAGAAAAACTGAGGGAGAAGATACACTGGAATATGTGTCAGTACCAGTGTGCAAAAGTGTATTTGCTTTGGAAGTATAAATCACCTCCAATGTTGGCAGCCTGTCTCAACCAGGGTGCCCAGGCACCTTGGGATGTTTGTGGAAGTTGCTGCATTATATAAAACTATTCGAATAGATTTTCACATTTTAGAGTGGAGTGCCTCAAGACTGTCCATAATTTTAAGGGTGCCTCGAGGTTGAGAAAGGTTGAGAAACACTGCACTAATAAGTACTGACCCCTGTCTGATCTGTCTACCCCGTTATAATCTAATTCTCCCTCCCCCCTCTATATCCAATATATATATATATATATATATATCTACATTCAAATGATATTTTATTTACTATTTTGTGCTAGTTGTGCTAATAAAACAGGAAATACCCATTACAATTTACCACCAAATTAAAGCTTAATTTGTCCTGGAAAAAAACAAGGTATAATTCACGCAAAGTAGTTGCAACCATATGTACAGTTTTACTAACACTTGTCAAAGCTGCATAATTGGGTCTGGGCATTTTGACTCCGTTCATGAAGCTGTTAACCATTCCTGGATTCCTTACTCTATAGTGGTATATATTGGATTTGACCGAGTTGATGATGGTGCAACCCCTAACTTATATTATACAAATGCTTTGCACAATGCGTTTGTCTGAGGTCCCTCCTGCTGGTCTACAGAACTTCATGCTGACATCACTGCCGCCCCCTTTCCTTCTCTCCATAACTCCTCCTTGTTTACGTTTTCAGCATTGTTGGCCCACCAAAGAAGTTAAGAGTCGATTGCATTTCTGACTGAGTCTTTGTTCATTTTTCAGTACTTGATGGGTTGTTAAAGAGATATAACATGGAAAAATGTGCATGTATAGGAGTGCTTTGCTGAGCATATTTTTCTATAGATTTTGCCCACATAGACACTTTTTTGTTTGTAGTATAGTATCTAAATGTTCACTTGATTTCTCAATAAAGTCTGAAAACTTAGACATGAGAGAACAGATGAAGAGGAGTTGGAGTGTTTTGCCTTTCCTATGGTATGTGCCCTTTATCTAGTGAATATTATATTGTGTATTGTCTGTCATTCTTAAATAAATCTACAATCTGATGTTTCACTTTTATTGCATCAAGTGAAGCAGACCCAGGTACTTGTTCATCCTCTTTTCAAGCTTGTTAATAGGCTAGGCAGTACGTTCCTTTCTATCTGAATCATTCCATGAAATAAGGACCATATATTCTCACAAAGGTCGCAGGCATTCTGTAAAAACAGCAGCCTTTCTGAGCAGACAAAGCAGTTATGTCTATATCACTAATGCACACAGCAAGGGCTGGAGAAATCAGAAGAGCTGAAAGCACACAGATTTTTCTGTTTGTATCTTGAGCTCCACTTTTGTTTGATGCTTTTAGAAGTCCTCTGAGTCACTGCGCTCAGCAAGCAAAGAAGCTAAGTTACCTAAACAGCAAAAATTTTGTGTACTGACATTAAATAGT